CTATGCTATGCTATGCTATGCTATGCTATGCTATGCTATGCTATGCTATGCTATGCTGCTTATAATTACAATGAGAGGCTAAGTTGACTAACTAACTTAATATCTTATTATCAGGGCAAAGGACGGTAAACACACCAAAATCAACGACGGTCACCTCAAAAACCAACAGTAAGTATACTATTTCATGTACCGATAAATAAGTGTTATAAACAGAGACAAATGTGACTAACAAACTTGTAATCTTTTGTTACAGGACTAACGACGGTCAATACAAAATCCAATAGTAAGTATGCTCTCTTCTTGTAATAATAGAAATCAAATTATACATTTCTTTTTACAGCAGAACTTAATCAAGAGAACAGCTCAGTTCGCCTCTAGGGAACGGGCTGCTTTTCAGGGACTACACCTGTTTCACTCAGCATAATTTCCATTGGATAAACAAGTTAAATATCGTATACTTACATAGCTTTTTTAACCTTTTTTTCAATATCAGGCGCTGCAACGAAATTAGAGTACCAGAAGATTGTAGTAATTTTCAGCGTGTGTTTGGTGCTTTTGATGACACTGCCTTAAATTTAATCACAGGGCCTCAACATTTTTTCAGTGATAATTTAAAGTAGCTAAGGTTAGGTAAGGTTAAAAAACAAGTCCGTCRAAAAGAGTCAGTTTAATATTCGGACGGGTTTCAAAACCCGTTTGTCTTTCCCCCGTACATATCAAACTTTCCACATAGAAAAGTTGTCGTTCCGCTCGAGCCGTTTCTTTTACCATATAAGGAATGTACTTACCATATTTGGAAATTGGAATATAATTTTTATCACTAAATAGGCGAATTTCTTGCTCAAAACTGCTCAAACAGTAAATCGAGTAAAACATTACTAACTGGCCCCAGACGTGGGGCCACCAGACGTCGATGGAACGTGCCAACCCCTTCTCCAAGTAAGCTTGGCTCGTTCCATCAACGTCTGGTGGCCCCACGTCTGGTGGCCCCACGTCTGGTGGCCCCACACCTCTGGTGGCCCCTGTCCCAGTTTCTCCGCGGCAATACAACCTGTGATTACGAAACTTGGCAGGGATGTAGTCACGTGCCCTGTCAGTCACCCCGACGACTTTGGATGTATGACGTCACATATCACGTGACTTGCTAAGATAACATTATCGCCAGTTTTTGAAATAAACCTTTTTTGACGTTATTGCGCTGCAAAAGTCTTTGTATATCAACGCTGATGGTAACCAACCCCCCCTGGCAGCGTGACGTCACAGCTCACGTGACTCATAAGTAGCGTTTTTTGGCTAAACCATGACGATAAACCGCCCATAACACTACTTACGAAGACACAAGATAGAAATTTAATATTTCCCATGCCGTATTCTTACACACCTGTAGCAGCAGTAAGGGGGACTCGCGGTCACCATTCGGAATCGCCCGGGGATTACCTGC